TGTCAGGTGCACTAACAGCTGTTCATCTGTCCATGCAGCAAAGCTAATGCCACCTTGAAACACTCAGAGAAGCAAGAGGGGAAAAAATCTCGTAAACATTTGCAAACAGAATACCAACTGCCAAATGTGATAATTTTCTAACCTTAAAATGATTGTTTTTAGTTAGTAGCAAAAGTGATCCATAATCTCACCTATGTAACTATGGAAACTAACTGCAACTTGACTGACCTGTGGGTATTAAGCCGAGTATATCAGTGACAATAAATAACTCTCCAGGATGAACCTTTGCTGTAAATGGGAATGACCATGGCTGGCACTGTAGCCAAGTAAACAGAGCTACAACAAAGAAAGACGGGATCAACCGGGCTCAAGAGCAGCACAGGTGAAAGCAATCGCTAATGAAGAACAAAAATAAAAAGTTGTTACAGAACTGACTTTTTATACACGGCCACATACCTGGGAATCATCACCCGCTCAGCACACGGCCCGAAGATCTGCACGGAGGAAATTTACTAGAATCAAAAACCGTCCCTAGTAAAACTGAACCAGAACCTGACACTGAAACCTTTCTACAAAACTGCTCCTCTAAAGCGACTTATCCTCAGACTCCCACACGTCTAATGGCCAAGGCATAAATATTTCTGACAGGAAAAAGCACTAGGTATCAGAAAATGTCTTGATTATGGGCTGATTTTTAAATTACCTTCAATTAATCAAGTGTAAATTACTTTTAAATTAATTAGCTCCCTTCTCCAAAATTAATTCCAATTACATTTAACAGTAATCTAATTTAGATAACTATACCTACTGTTCACTAACTCCAGTGCGAAATACCATCACATTGCACTAAAATACACTTGTCCATGACTGTCGCATGGTATCTGCCTTTCAAAACTGCAAATTTGGTTCAATTGCAAAACCAAAAAGCCCCTAATGTTTTTCACCATTTTTAAGCCACCTTCCAGTCACTGCCTTTTTGCAATCCATGTCCTGTTTGCCAAGAATAACGTTTATCATCATTTATTAAGTCACCTTTCAACCGCTGCCTTGGCGTTCACTTAATTCTGCCAATGGAATCGAGTGCCACGTACCTTACCAAGAATTATCACGTACCGCCGACTTCCCCAACAACCAGAGGTTGACCAACAGCTGGGCTGAGCCAACCTCTTCTTTCTCCATCTTTATGCACAAGAGGCCAGTGCCAGATTCATCCCACACCCATCGCTTGGAGCCAGGTTGTTCAGAGCACCCACCACAGATACGCACCATATTTCATTTCCCACTTCACAGGGAGTTTGCCTTTGCGACGGGACCCACCGCAGAGGCCAAACTGATTGTGCCCCACTTACTCTCACCCAGGCTCACCAGAATACCCCCCTGATCCCATCTGCCATGCCTTGCTGGAATATTAAATATAAATTAAGGAAGAGACCTTCACAAACTGGGAAGAGGCCTTAGGTGTCTCATTCCACCCTGCTCATCATGGGGTGGTCTTAGTTTGGCCTGATTTTCCAACTCATTGCCCTGAGCCGAGTGTCCCCGCCTCAACCTGGCTGCACCCCTTCTGCTCACCTGATCTCAGACTCTCCGAACCAGGCACAGTGGTTTCCCCTTTGCCTACTAATAAGCCTGCTCCCCTCCGCTGCAGCCTACCCAGCTGCTCTTCCACTTCACTAGTCTGCAGCTCTGCCTGTTGCAGGGCAGCTGGCTTTCAAGTAGGTACTTGCAGGTTTATAGCTCCTGTCCCCGTCTTCCTTCCCTGGGCTGCTTACCTTCTTGCAGCCGGTACCAGCCCAGCTGCCTGCAACAGGCTGCAGCCCTAAAATGCTGCTTTCTTGCTCTAAAAGTAAAAGGGCTCGGGAGGGCCTGGCAGGTCAGTCATCGTTGCAGCAGCTTGCTCGGCTCAGTATATTTATCCCTGTGTTTTCATGTTCTTCTCTGCCTACTTAATTTTTGTGGCATGGCCACCACTCATCTTACTGCCTCACGGGAAAGTATTCTGCCATCTCTCACCTTCCAGTCTGCATAAGGCTCACCTCCCGTAACAGATTTGACCTCTGGGAGCTAGAAAGAAAATTAAACTTCTGCCATAAATAGTTTCTCAAAGGATTTCTACCTTCACTTTTATTGCCAGTCCACTTTGCCAAAATGTTTATTCAGGCATAATTTATGTTTCACGGCGATTAGCCATTATGGGGGTATTATATTGATTATTTGTATAAAGGTGATGTGAGAGGCCCTATTTTGCACAAAATTTAGTCCTTGTGTCTGGGGCCTGTGCATACTGGCAGCTGCCATGAAAAAGGTTATCACAATTTACAGTGAATCATCAACCACTCGGTATTCAAGGCGCACACGGCCAGGAGATCTGCATATGTGAACTTTACTATAATCACAAACAGTTCCTAGTAAAACTGAACCATAACTTGACACAAACCTTTATACAAAACTAATCCTATAAAGAAAATTATTCTCAGACTCCCACACGTCTAATGGCCAAGGCATAAATATTTCTGACAGGAAAAAGCACTGAGTATCAGAAAATGCCTTGATTATGGGTTGATGGGACATCAGCTTTGCCTCAACTCATCCGTTCAGGCAGGACCTCTTTAGTAGCCACAAGGTGCACCTGCTCCAGAAGATATATTCTGATGGTTTCCAGCACAATGAGTGTATCTACAGCAAAGCTATTGGGTTCAGCACTCAGCAATATATGCATTATTTAAAAAGGCATTATACTTAAATGAAAGCATTTAACAAGGTTTTTAAATACTGAGCAGAAAGATGAAACAGGGAAATAAACTTCACCATATACTCGCTCACTGAACTACTACAGAAACAACAATAACAATTAAGAAATTATGGTAGAAACTTATTAAATCACTCCATTGGGTTTAGTACATATTTTGAATAGCAAAGTCTTCAAAAGTAAGAGGATTCCAACATATAATATGTTCCGCAATAACCAAGTACAACTAATCAAGTTAATGAACAAAAAAAGCCATGACAGCTATAATTTAGGATTTCAATTCGTACAGTTGTGACTTTAAGATCTCCTTCCTTGCTATGCACATGCACATGCGCACGCATGCACGCACCCCCTCTGAATCAGTTCCACTGCTCCTTTTCCTTTCCTCTTCACTCTGTGCTGAAAGTCACAGGAGAGATGAACAATTTGGACAATCAGGGCCAGCTGTGAACACTGTACAGTCGCATGTGCAATATTACACGAGAATGTTTCTTGTATTTAGAGATCACTCTGTTGAATTACTAGCTCACAAATGTATAAACCAGGTGTGCCAAACATCTGCCACACCAGGCTACCAGAAGTTAGGGCATAGCTTGTCGGGGAATATAGAGCCCTCTGGCCCCACTGGCCATGGCCATTAGTGGTGATCTTGGTTTGCCACCATTGTCCCCAGACCCGACCCCCCCGACCCACTGCTGCTGCTGGATCCCTCCCATTGCTAAAGGACCCCCCACACCATCACCTCTGGTCCCCATTGTGCCCCACTGGACAGCTTGCTGCCCCTAAGCTCCTTGACACCGCTGCTGCTGGACCTGCCACTGCAGCAGCCACCACCCTGCCCCAAGCTGGGTCCGGCCCATGACGAGCCTCGCAGTCCGCATCTGGCCCAGGGCTCCAGGTGAGTTTGGCACCCCTGTTATAAACCATCACATTGGCATCAAGCAGTAAGATAGTCCCAGTTTATATTTCTCCTTACCTCCACTGGAGCGGGTTGCTGTAGCAGGGACTAGCAGGGTTGCTCTGGGGTTGTGGGTTCAGGTAAAAAACTAGAGGAGAAGCAGCGAGAGCACAATCAGCACTAAATGGGAACTTAAGGTGCTGCAGACCTGGAGCGGATGTAGGAGAGAACATGTTGTGATGAACATCACTTCCTCGGCAGTGGGAGCACAGAGGAGAGGAGATTCTGACAAGGCCATAGTAGAAATAATCAGTGTCAACGGCAAGTATCTTCAGCTTTATTTTTAAAACAATCAAAGATCAATAGATAGAGCTTGCACTTAGCAAGAAATTTGGTAAACTAAGTGGTCAAAAGTCATTCCTTTAATCATGACTGCCTTACTTACTCAAATGTCATCGTAAAATAACCAAAATGTTACTGGTACCTAACTAGGACAGCACTGACTCGACAGGATGTTTCCATCACGGTGTTTATTTGGTCCTGAGCTAACCAAATCCTTCTTGCCAGGTAGCTGGCAACATCAGATGTGCTTACTGAATGCAAGCACTGATGATTAAATGGAAAAGAACATTTAGCACTTACAGTGCTTTACAAACATGAACTAATTAAGCCTGAAAACAGCACTGTGAGATAGGTGTTATTGTCATTTTAGTGATGGCAAAGTGGAGGCACAGAGAGTGGTTAAGTAACTCATTCACAGCAAACCACTGGCAGAGCCCAGGATTACAACTGTGGAAACCAACTCCCAGCTCTGCGCTCATTTACCTAACTATGTTGTTTCTCCATAGTTAGCAGCTAACACACGCAGAGATGGTGTGCAAGCAGAGGCTTCTACATATATGCAATAAAGATTTTTAACACCTACTTTACTGAACTATACACGACCAGTTGTCTTTGTCTAGAAACAAAGTAAAAATTCACTTACAAGCGCGGCTATATAAGGAATTTCACAGTAATTAAAATAATGTTATTTTTTTTTCATATTACATAGATGTTTTTCTTCCCCAAATGTTTAACTTACTAATGGGGAAAGTAACTGGGCAGTGCACATAAGACAATTTCCTGCTGCAGCAACATGCTGCACAGGGGGGTTTTAATAATTATGCTTTTATCAAATTAATTGATTACAGGACCAATGCCATCTATACACCTTACAGTTGCAAAACTTGCACCAAGATCAACTACTAAAGCAGGCTGGATTGAGGGACCATTCACGAAGTATTGTCAGAGAGTACTTGGAAGAAAAAAATACTGCAAGTACCAGCAATGCTGCTGTTATTCTAGGCCTGTTTAAATAATTCAGTATCTAATTTACTTCAACTGCCAGACTTCCAACTTACATGCTAGCACCTTAACTGATGTTTTGCTCACTTAACTTTCTTAAAAACTCATCTAACCAGAATGTTCAACATGTCCAACAACCAAACCATCTTAATTTGGAGATACCGTTTGTTTTTACACTACACTAATTTCATTCCAAGTGTCTAAACTTGCATTGGTTGTTATAGACTTAACATGCAACAAATATTGAAGATATAAGGAATAACTCCCCATTATTAAATGTTCCACACTCAAGATTTAACATATCAAATAATTACGTTTTATACCCAATTCCCAAAACGCAATCCCTGTAGGTAAAATGAAGGCTCATAATTTATCATGGGAAACTGCACGAACTGCACTACCGACACTAAGACCTATATGGATTTCCCATCTTTGTGACAAATGACCTTCCTTTGCTTTGGTAGTACGATGCCTAGCACAGCGGGGTCGGAGGCTATGACTACAGCTCCTGCACACTAAAGCAACATAAAAAAAAAATACTACCAGCACAACTTGGCATTGTTTTAAAAAGAGGAGTTGATCTACCCCATTTGGAACATGAAATCCAAAAGAATAAAAATGTAGAGTGGCCTTGGGTAACTGTTTGGGCCCAAATATTGTGTTATAAAACTGAAGTTAGACACCGCTGCTATTGTTCCCAGCTTTAAAATTCCCTAATGATTCAAAATGCATCTGATCAGAAAGCAAGCCCTAGTTACTGAAAATCCCCCTGGTAATCTCCGCTTAAACAGCTGATGGGCTTTACAATCTGCTGACAGAAAGGTTAAGCTTTCCTCTTACCCTCCTCCTCCATCAGTGACTAAAACAGATTCACTTCAGCTCCATATTCACATCCATATTCTTTAAATACAATCCCGTTAATTTTTAAACTAGTCATAATGTGTATCGTGCTGTCCTACAGCAATTGCCATCAATAGATCTCAAAATATTTCACAACGGTGGCAAGTGTCAAAATAAAGCGCCATAAATCTATATACTCAGATCATGTAGAGTTATATATATGAAGCTAGAAGTTCAGGTAGAGCCAACTTTTTTTTTTTAATAAAATAAATCCTACACCTACAACGTCTGGGAAGTATCCCAACGGGAGGGGTGCGAGGGGCTGCTGCAGCTCTCTTTCTGAAACATTTCCTTTTTAGACTAAATCAATGATCTAGTTTCTCTTAAAAATTAAATATGGAAATACAGAAAGCACAAATATAAACATCATGCAATTTTAATACGGCAGTTCCTGCCATGCATAATACTGAACTTATCTTGTGTGCCCCATTTACAGGAATATTTGGAACTATAAAAAAAGAAAGTATTTATTTGAGAGTAACTTCAAATTCAGCTACTTCACTAGTGAAGTCTGGAAATTAGTACTTCACTGACACTGATAAACCTACATCTAATTCAAATTAAGATGATGCTTGTTGGACATGAAACATTCTGGGTTTTTCTCTAATTGCTTTCATTTGCAATGTTTAACTTAGTTTTTTCACAACAATCCTTACTGGATCCGCAGAGATGGGGCTCCAAGTCTCTCTTTCCTCCGTTTCATCATTGCGCTGCCTGCTACGCTGCGTCTCTTCACAGAATAAGAGGCTTAAAGCCAGAAAGGCGAGCGTGCTGTTATCGCTCCACCGCAGAGCAGCCAGCGCAGTTGTCCGGGGCTCGGGATACTCGCCCGGGTCAGACGGACCTTCTGAATTCAGGAACGGTCCCCGTTAATCAGGGAGCTCGGGTCAAACTCTAATTATTCTGAGCGACGACTTCCAGGAGTCTATTTATAGCATCCAGAACGAGGAAATCCAGACCCCCGGTACGAAGCAGGCGCACAGAGACACGGACTAAACAATTTGATCTGTCAAACAGACGGCAGTGATCTCCTGACATCACTCACACTTCCAGCCCAGCAAATCAGTGACAAACTTTTTCTGGGCTTCTGAGCAGGCACTCGCAGCAGATCGCCGGGGCAGCGCGGAGCCCAGAGCGAGATGGCACGCTGGGAAGGACCCTGGCAGAAATCGCACATACCAGCTTGAGGACTCGCGCGGCGACAGGAGCCCACCCAGAGCCCCGGGAGCAGTGCACACAGCACCTGTTCTTTGCTGGAGAGGAAACGTGCTACGTATCCCTTTTTTTTGGAAAAGCAAAGCATGCAAGCGTCTGCAGGGCTTCCATCTGAAAGGACTCTTAGTATACTCCTTTGTTAAAACACAATTTTTACCAAAAAAGTGGAACGATTAGGTTGCATTACAGCTTCTTTTCTTCATGAACTTGAAAAAGGAGGCTAGACAAGCAGGGGAAGAGGCTGCCAAGTGAGGCTGAGGAGTCGAACGTCCCTCCTAGGACACAAGAGGCTTCCTTGCATCTCTCTCACTTTCTGTCTTGCATTTTAGCTTCCAAATGATAACGTATGACATGATTGTCACAAACTATAGTCCAGTGTTCCTGCAACCCATTCATTTATCTGCAGAAAGGAAGCTTTCCAAGCACAGACGCTGTGCAACTTGGCTAAAATTTAGCACCAAGTGAAAGATTAAAAAAAACAAACAGATAAACAGCAAGCAGTATTTTAAACATATAGATTATATTACTTAGAAAAAGAAAGTCAAATTGCGGGTTATGGGTCTTGCCTCTGGAGCTGACCAGGGATATACCTCCTACACCATCCATCTCCCCTTGGCTCCCCCATCAGCTACGCTGCACGGGGAAAAGGAGGACATGTCAGCCTCAAGAAGGAGGCCAGTGAGCCCAGGAGACGAAGACAATATTTATATGGCACAATGCAGCACCACACCAACGCAGACGACCGAGCTAGCATGGACACCAAAAGCACCAGAGCCATGGTAGGTGCTCCACCTCACTTATAATATCCTGCTTCTCAGCAGGGTTAATTAGCCGCCACTGTTAATGTAGATATAGAAAGACTGATCCAAGCATTTGAAATTAGGTGCCTGGTAACACAACCGTACAAATCTCTTGGAAAAAAAAAATCAGCTGGTGAGAATGGAGATCACGGGACTGTAGGGAAGCAGGGCTGGAAGGACCTCAACAAGGTCACCCAACCCCCTGCTCCGGGCAGGATCAGCACCGACTAAAGTAAACCATCCCAGACAATTAAACTTCATATACTACCTTTGTTCTTGTGTATTCTTTTTTTGTTGAGCATGCTGTGATGAGAGAGAAGAAAAGTGAAAGAGAGAAAGAAGACAGAGAGAGAAAAAGTGGGAAAGAGAAAGAAAGAGAAGAGAAAAAGGGAGACAGGAAAAAGAGAAAAAAGGAAAGAAAAGATAGAGAGAAAGGAAAAAAAAGGAAAAAGAAGAGGAGAAGAGAAAGAAAAGAGGAGAAAAAAGAGAAAGAGGAAGAGAAAGAAAAAAGGAGAGAAAAACAGAAGAGACAAAAGAAAAAGGAGAGAAAAAAGAAGAGAAAGAGGGGAGAGAAAAAAAGAGGTGATGAGAGAAAGGAGAGAATACAGAGAAAGAAAAAGAGGAAAAGAAAAAAGAAATAAGGAGACAAACCGTAGCTCCCGCGCATAAATGCAGAGCGTGATCTCCACGCTCACCTATTCCGATGTATGCTGTAGATGCGTATTTTAAAGAGCTGTCTAGAAACTTTGCCTTACCTAGGATAGACCCTCCATGTTCACAAAACATATGCACAGTATAATATTAAATAAGGCCAACCTAACTCTCGAATCCGTAAGTACATTAGGTCCAACATGAGGTTTTCACAGTTGTCCTGTTTTCCACACACTTGTTATCCACATTACTGGCATGAAAACAGTGTGTTCAGCCCTTATTTCAGTTGTCATGTGCATGCTAGTGCTTTGCACAGAGAATTTCCTTTCCACCCTTACCTCCAAGGTGTTCAGTAGGCCACGTCTCAACATTGCCCTTTCCCCCACCCCCATTTCAAACATTTATTCTCTTGGAGTGTGCAGGAGTGGAAAGATGACAGCCTTCGACAACATCTCTCACCCCAGTCTCATTAAAACATTAGGAGATTGTGGTGTCGATGCCTACACAGTCAGATAGGTTGCCAATTGGCTGGAGGGCCGCACCCAGAGAGTGGTGCTGGACGGGTCTCAGTCGAGCTGGAGTATGTGGGCAGTGGGGTCCCCCAGGGCTTGGTCCTCGGGCCCGCACTGTTCAACATCTTCATCAGCAACTTGGACGAGGGGGTAAAAAGCACCCTGTTCAAATTCGCAAATGACACTAAGATGTGGGGGGAAGTGGGCACGCTAGAAGGGAGGGACCGGATACGGCTGGATCTGGACAGGTTACAGGGGTGGGAGGATGAGAACAGGATGGGATTCACTACTGACATCTGCAAGGTGCTGCACCTGGGGAGGAAGAACCAGCAGCACACCTACAGGCTGGGGAACTCCCTTCTTGTCAGCGCAGAGGCAGAAAAGGATCTTGGAGTCATTATAGACCCCAAGATGAACATAAGCCACCAGGAAGGCCAACCGCGCCTTGTCATGCATCCACAGATGCATCTCGAGCAGGTCCAAGGAGGTGATCCTCCCCCTCTACGCGACACTGGTCAGGCCGCAGTTGGAGTACTGCGTCCAGTTCTGGGCGCCGCACTTCACGAGGGATGTGGACAGCATGGAGAGGGTCCAGAGGAGGGTCACTCGCATGATCAGGGGGCAGCAGGGCAGGCCCTACGAGGAGAGGCGACGGGACCTGAACCTGTTCACCTCCACAAGAGAAGGCTGAGCGGGGATCTAGTGGCCATCTATAAACTGGTCGAAGGAGACCAGCAGGCAATGGGAGAGTCCCTGTTCCCCCGAGCACTACTGGGATTAACAAGGAATAACGGCCATAAGTTGACGGAGAGTAGGTTCAGGCTAGATATCAGGAGGCGCTACTTCACTGTCAGGGTGGCTGGGATCTGGAACCAACTTCCAAGGGAAGTGGTGCTCACTCCTAACCTGGGGGTCTTCAAAAGGAGGCTAGATAGACACCTAGCCGGGGTCGTTTGACCCCAGTACTCTTTCCTGCCCATGGCAGGGGGTCGGACTTGATGATCTGCTCAGGTCCCATCCGACCCGACCAACTACGAAACTATAAGCAGCAGGTGTAGTGTTAAGTTTGGGAGCAACACACCCTCCCCCTTCCTCCCGACTTCTGCTGCGTGCCCCTGGCCCAGAGCGCCGGTGCAGCAGGGAGCGGAAGATGAGATGGGATGCCACGCTGCACAGGGAAGCGCCCGCCCGCATGCCCTTGAACGTATCAAACGACGGTCCATCCAGGTGCCATCATTACCAGTCATAGCTCTGGTGATACGGACGGAGCGATGGTCCTGGACATGCACTACGAGGCAGTCAATCAACTGCCCACGTTTTGAGCGGGGGTGCATCCACGACGTCTTCCATGTGTTGCTTGGCAAAATAAGGAGAGTGGATGACGAGCCCGTACCCTGAACACTGGCTCAGGAGGAGAACTCCATTGGAGGGGACTTCCCCGTCCCTTGCTTTCCAAGAGCTCCTTCCATAGCTCAGAGCCCCTGCCCACTCTAGCACTAAGCTGCCAAGAAGAATTATCTTCTTTTTGGGGACAGACGACAGGACGCGGCTGAGTTTAGAACAGAACTCTTCTTCTGTTCTCTCGGCAGCAAGCCCTGCTGCAAGCAGCCCAGGCTCCACAGCCGGCAGCAGCTCCCCAGAGCCCAGGACAGCCATGGCAGGCAGCCAGGAGGCTGCAAACAGCTGTACCGGGGTCCGGAGCCCCAAGCCAGGCTCTGTGGCAGTGGTGGCTGCACGTGCGCCTCCGGGCACACAGCGGGCAAGGGGACGGAGTTGCACTGCCCCAGGTCTCTTCCCAGCTGTATGTCCCAGGGTGCACAGGGTCCACCCCCACCACAGAGCCCAGCCAGGGCTCCGGACCTTGGTGCAGCTGTTTGCAGCATCCTGCCTGCCTTCCACAGCTGGCCTGGGCCCTTGGCTGCTGCAGCAGGCGGCGGGCAGGCTGCAAACAGCTGCACTGGGGTCTGTAGCCCCATCACCAGCTCCGTGGCAGTAGCAGCTGCACATGCACCTCAGAGTGCAGGGCAGGGAGGGGGCCGGGGCAGCGCAAACCAGGCCTCTCCCCTGCTGTCTGCCTGGAGGCATGCATATACCCACCACCAGCAACGAGGATTGGGCCCCTTGCAGGTCCCCACTGTCTGTCTCTGGCACGCCAAGTCAAGATGTGGGTGGAGGTTGGGGTGTTTTTGACACCAAGCCAAAAATGTTGCTGACCCCTGCTCTAAGAGCTGTCCCTCTTCTCACTAAGGGTAGCAATGTTACTATTAAATCATGCAAGACCTATGGCCACAAGTGCTATCTTTCACTCCAGGTGGTCACTACTATCCATCAGGGTGAGGATGTTCCAAGTTGCAAACTTCATCACTTGAGCTGAATCGCAGTTCTCCAGCCGGGTGAAATGAGAAAAGCTAAGTTCAGGGCACCTTTTCTAGCCCCCTCCCCATCCCGGGTGAGCAGCGTGGATCCAAAACAAGCCAGCTCATCTTTGATGCGACGTGTGCCATCAGTGACCTCAAGACCAATGCTGTGTGGAGTTTTCTACTCTTGGTAGGGTGACCCAAGGTGGAAATATCCAAACAAAGTTTCCAAAGTAATAGTGATGCAAAAATAAAAATAAACAGTGGAGCAGGCGGATGAAGAAGGAATACTTCACAATGGCTGCACAGGTGGACGAAGGCTACAGCTGAAAAGAAACCTCCAGTTGTTTAGATTTGTTTTGCCATTGGATTACTGTTTCCTTCCTGAAAAATACTGTGTGGCTGCTGATGTGCTATAGCATCCCTGCATTAAAAGAAGTCTTTCTTCAATATTCAGTCCTATGGCAATGGGCCAGTGGAGACAGGGGTGGGTGCACCAGCAGGTAACCACAGACCTAT